TTTTGCAATCTTCAGGCAACTGTTTTTACGAGTTCAGTTCTGTTCGTTGACGCTACTTAGGCCTAAAAAAATACTTGTGGTTCCGGTTCGCGACCGACCCTATTTTTTCTGCCGATCCTATTATTTTTTCAACGCGATTGACCGTGCTCATACGGCGTGCCAAAATGGCGTCTGTTGTCACACTAATTATTGAACCAAATTGCCTAAATTCGTCCATAGGAAATACGCATCTCTAGTTAATATTGATGTTGGGACTTTACTGAAAATTGCCCAGTAAAAAACCGCCAAAACGGTGAAAAAACCATTAAAAAAAATTATTTCCGACCTATACTGACCCTAAGTTTTTCACGATATGACACCGGAACCACAGGTATTTTTTAGGCCTTATTAAACTGCCAAATTAAACAGGCAATTACTTAAAACTATTAGGAATAAGATATGCTAACATTAAACATTATTTAACACATCATTGCAAAGTTCATAAAATTTCGTGAGCAAAATCTTCAGCTCTATGAAAGTTGTTTGAGAATACCTTGAATCACAATTCTTCAAAAAGATTCACCTTGCAAGTAGTATATTATGCCAAACACTTTATTTATTTTATTTTCAAAAGTATACAATAATGAGCATGAATATTTAATTAAGAAAAGGTAATTTAAATAGAATGTTTATTTGTCCGCACAACATTCATGCTGAATTACTGAATAGTTGTACATCTGCTGAATGTTTAGTAGATGCTTTGGAACTTGAGAATTCATTTTTGGTAAGCTTTTCGTAGTTCGTTTCAAATTTATATATTTGTTCTGCATTTTTTGTTACATTTAGTTTACTTAAAATGAATGAAGTCGCAACTCCGAGTTTCACGTTTTCATGATCCTCAGCCGACGACATAGATGAGGTAAATATCTCTCTTCTGTGGCCGACGATGTACCCCATGTTTAACTAACTTTCCTGCTTGATGGCGTTGATATACGTTGTACTGCTTGCGTGACTGAGTTTGCGCACGTTTAAACTGTCCGGCCAAGAATCGTTTTTCGAGAACAACTCGCGTCTCCTAGTCAACAAGTTTGACTTATCCGCTTTTAGAATAGGCAAAGGTTGCATCTCTTTCCACCGCTGGAATTCGAGGTTGCTCGTTTCAGGATAAATCAATTAATTGTAAATTCTTGCTGCTTTTCGTTTAAGTTCCACACGTATTTTGATAGCTTTGTATAGTTCCTGTATGTTACGTTGTTGAATGATTTAGTGTGGTTATATAACAGTTTCTTGAAGGTGTTTCCAGTGATGCCAATGTATTCCTTAGGTTTCGAATTGCTGGTTACAACCTCTGCTTTATAAACTATGCAGTCCAATAGGCTGTTTATAAAGCAGAGGTTGTAACCAGCAATTCGGAACCTAAAGAATACATTGGCATGATGGGAAACACGTTCAAGAAACGGCTATATAACCACACTAATTCATTCAAAATTGTAACATACAAGAACAATACAGAAATATCAAAATACGTGTGCAACTTAAAGGAAAAGCAGCAGGAATTCACAATTAATTGGCCTATCCTGAAACGAGCAGACTCGTATTCCAGCTGTCGAAAGAGATCTAATCTTTGCCGCCTTCAGGAAAAACTTTGTATTCTAAAAGCGGATAAGTTAAACTGGTTGAATAGGACACGTCAAGCAGGAAAAGTTAGTTGAACATGCATCTTCGCGTGAGGATCGTGAAAACGTGAAACTCGTTTTGTTGTAGTAGATAATAGCGCTCAATACTAATATTATAGCAGAGCAAGATATATTTATATCTTAAAATCAATTATTGCTACTCAAGTTTCACGCTTTGTTTAAGACGATCTTCGGCAATTAATATTAATTATTAATTGCCCGAAGAACGTCATGAATAAGGCGTGAAAGTTGAGTAGCAATAATTATATATATATATATAT